TGGCCCAGGCTCCGTGGCCTCCAGCTGCTCACGGGCAGGTGAGTGTATCGCTGTCTGGGAGGGGGACCCCCCTCTTGGCCTCTGACCCCAACCGGTCCCTCGCCGACTTCCTCGCCCATTCCTCAAGTGGCTCAGGATCAGGGGCAGAAGGGAGTCAATATAGCCCTCGGCCCTGGCCCTACCCTCCGCAAGGCTGGGACAGATCCCAGAAAGGCCACCAGGGCCGGGGATAAACAAGAGATCCGGTGGCTGAGGGGAGAAAGAGCTGTGTGTGCACTGGGTGGAGGGACATCAATCTGTTTAACGAGCCACCTTGGGCAGCTTCTAGGAGAACAGCACCAGGTGACATGCTGGGGAGAGAAAGGACAGCCACATGATTAAAGATAGGCTTCCCAGAGAGCATGGGATTTGGCTGGGCTGTGTGGGTGGAGAGAGCGAGCAGCCTGTGGGGCGGTGCAGAGGTGAGGCCTGTGCCCGGCAGGTGGGGACTGGAAGGGGCTGGCCTGGCTGGAACGAGGGTGTGAGGGGACAGGAAGGGGAGCTGGACTGGCAGCCAAGTGTGGAAGCCTACCCTCTACTCCAGCCCAGTTCCCACCCTGGCATGCAGATGCCTGGGGCCCCAGCCCAGACCGATCAGATGGGAGCCTGTGGGCCTACACATCAGGGTTCCAAGAAGCTCCCCGGGTGATTCTCTGTGGCCAGGGTATAGCACCATGGCTTTAGCATGGGGGGAGCCACTGAAGGTTTGGGGGTAGGAGTGACCTATTAACAGAAGACTCACAGGAGGCTAATGCTTAGGAGGAAGGGGACTTAAATGGGGTCCTCTTGAGGCTTTCTTGGCATGGGCATCGGTGGGCACCCCAAGACATACAGAGTCAGCTCCCCCGCTGGACAGTGTCCCTGCCACCAGGTCTGAGTTGTTCCTCTGACCTGCCACAGACATGCAGCCCAGCCTGGAGGCTGAGCTCCGGAGAGGGAACACGGCACCTCATCTCACCCCCCGCCCCTTCTCACCCCACACCCTCCAGGCCCCCACCCAGGGCCCAGAGCAGCTCTCTGTGCTCCAGGAAGAAGATGTAGTTCAGAGGCTGTTCCCTCGGGTGCCAGAAACATCTGCGGGAGGGGGCAGAGCCAGTCCAGGGCCTCCGGGAACCAGGAAGGGCGGCCTCCCAACAGCCGGGCCATGGCTGAAAGCCTTCTCGCGGGGACACAGCTCAGCCCAGTGTGTCTCCTCCGGGCCGCCGCAGGAAGGCCCCAGACATGACATGACCTACAGCCCCAAGAACCAGGAGCTGGAGGGGGACCGTTTGCAGGGCCTGAGCTCCCCTACCCCCCATTTCTGCCTCAGGTAACAGCCTTCCCGGGATGGAGCAAGTGGTTACGGAAACTTGCACAGCCAGCCCACCCACACCATCCGGAGGGAGCTCTGGGTCCCCAGGGATGGGGCAGGAGTGGAGGGTGGGCAGTGGATGGGGCCCCAGAGCAGGGAGGGCCCACGACCACTGCTCTGACTCCCTGGGAGACATGATGGGGCTCTGGTCCCAGTTCTGCCATTTCACCTGTCAGCCCCCATGATTCTGGAGGTGGGATTGCTAGAGCACGTAAGGTGCCCCTGTAAACCATGAAGAGCCACGGTGATCTATGGAGCAGGAGAGAGCGCTACAACAGGAAGAGGAAGCGTGCGTAGGCCCTGCCTGCAGTGACACTCACAGTCTGGGTGGGGGGCAGAGGACAACTGCAGAGCACCCAGAGCAACCGGGTCAGGGGACCAAGGCAGGGCAGGGGGCTGGACCAGGACGGGCATCAAAAAAGGTGCCCGGGTGGCTCAGTCGGTTAGGGTCCAACTTTAGCTCAGGTCATTATCTCAGTTTATGAGTTTGAGCCTCGCGTCAGGCTCACTGCTGACAGACATCTCAAGAGTCTGGAGCCTGCTTCAGATCGTCTGTCCCACTCTCTCTCTCTCCACCCCTCCCCCACTCACTCTCTGTCCCTCTCAAAATAAATAAATACACTTTAAAAAAAAAGGTGGTGATATTAGAGGTGGGTTGGGAAAAAGCAGGGCAGGAAGGTGCCCTGAGAGGGGGAGGAAAGGGGTCAGAGAGTGAAGTGTGTCCAAGGGAGACTGACAGGGAAGGGGGCAACAGGGGAGGCTGGGGCCCAGAATAGGGTGTGGAAGCCACTCCAGGCCCTGATGCTATGGACAAAGGGGCCACTGAAGGCTTCTGGCGGATGTGAGGGTGGAAATGGCCCCATGGCTGCTGCAGGAAGATGAATGGAGCAGAGAAAGACGGGTGCCTTGTTTTCAGGACCAACCAACCAGGGGCTCAAAAAAGTGCAGTTTTGCTTAGCAATTAGGACGCGGAGGGGCCCCTGGATGGCTCAGTCGGTTAAGCGTCCGACTTCAGCTCAGGTCTGATCTCACCGTTCATGAGTTCGAGCCCCACGTCGGGCTCTGTGCTGACAGCTCGGAGCCTGGAGCCTGCTTCGGATCCTGTGTCTCCCTCGCTCTCTGCCCCTCCCCCACCCGTGCTCTGTGTCTCTCTTTCAAAAATAAACATTTAAAAAAAAAAAGAAATCAGGAAGTGGACAAAAAATTAAAAGAAGTTTCTACCTAGATACAAAGTATGGCCAATACACCACCATCCGCCGAGCCCTAAGTGGTTACTCCGTGCTACACCGCACTGGGCACTCATCACCCCATCCCTTCCCAATCTCCATCCCTGGAGCCTACTCGACGTTTTCTTAGAAAGGAGAGGAAGTCACCCCCAGATCCACCAGGCAAGAACCATTTTAAACTGCTTTCAGCTAGAGAGCTCTAACGACACATCCT